GTCAACAATCGGGTATACGTCCCCGAGCCGTTGCGCCGTCGGATCCTCTTCTACTTCCACTTCTCCCGCGTCGGGGCTCACCAAGGGGTCCAGCGGTCGTACAACCGACTAGCGAAGTACTTCTGGTGGAATAACATGTTCAATGACGTCCGCAACTTCGCCAAACAATGCCTAACCTGCATCAGGAGGAGGCACACGGCTATCGACTTCGTCAGGGGCAACCTACTCTCAACTGGGCTGTTCGAGATTGTCGCCTGCGACACCGTCGGCCCGATATGGTTCCAAAAGCGACAATACTACCTCTTCACATGCATCGATCACCTCAGCAAGTTCGCGATCGCGGTCCCCCTCAACACCGTCCGAGCCGTAGATCTCTGGGAAGCGTTCTACTGCAACTGGCTCAGCCTACTCGGGTCACCCCGAAATCTGCTAAGCGACAACGCCTTCCGAGCCACCGAGTTCCAGGAACGATGCCAAGGGCTAGGCATCAACTGCCTGTTCTGCTCGGCGTACTACCCACAAGGGAACAGCGTCGTCGAAGCCTTCCACCAATATCTCAACCGCTCCATCAGCTCCTTCACGTCGACGACCCCCTGGAGCTTCCCCGAGATCGTCGCCTCCGCCATGATGGCATACCGTTCCACCCCGCACCCTACAACCGGAGAATCACCATACAGGATCGTCACCGGGGCTGACCTAGTACTCCCACACTTCCAACAGTGGCACAGATACGAGAACCTCATCCAAGACGTCGTTCCCCGCCTCCGGCTACTAGACACCTTCAGGCAAGACGCACTGGACCACACGCTCCGTACCATCAGCCGACGACGAACGCCAACAACCAAAGAAATCAAAGTGGGCGACACCGTCGTCATGCTGCTACGAGGCAAACTCTTAGCCACGCTCCAAGAACGATTCGGCTCCTCTAAACTCGTTCCGAACTGGTCCGAGCCCTGCCGAGTCACCGAGATCAAGGGACACAAAGTCGTCGCCCAATCCATCTGGCACAAAGACCTAGTCTACGAATCCCCGCTGTCCGAGGTCCTCAAACCACACCCAGCACATCCCTCTGGGGACGAATCCACGTCACCGAGCAAACCCGTACGACCAACGACCCCGCGCTGCGCGTAGCGTCCGCAAGACAA